TTGGATTGGTCTTTGGCTATTATCCATGAGTTAATGAAACAAATGGGTAATTACAAGGTATAAGCCATTTGGAGCTTCGGAGAGAGTCACGAAATCAATAGAGAGATGAGCAATCTGGCATGTAGGTTTTTGGTATTTTTCCGATTGCGACACACATGAGTTCATGGTCAGATATAAACTTGTAACGAATCAAATGGAGGTATTGAGACATGTGACAAGGACAGGTCAGGCTCGAACACTATAAAATGATACCCTCAACATTAGGAGAGTGGTGCGCGGTTTGCAGTCGATCGAGTCGAATCCCGATCGTTCTAAGTTTCCACCAGCTAGTGACGAGCCTGGCCAGTCTGATCCTGTCCTGTATTGTTAGATGGGCTGAGAGTAAGTAAAACTATGTGAGTATAAAACTGGTGTTGCGTTTCTTTATTATGCGTGTGTGAATGCTGCTAGAGACAACTTGGAGTAAGGGTCGTTAGACCAATCACTCCTTGACGGAACCGAGCCGTGGTGGACAAGGCGAGGGCAATGTCCTGGCTTAATTGACCACAAGGACCAGGAACGGCAATACACTTAGAAACTGTAGCAGGGTCGCACTGGACCCTCAAAACCAGTTACGACAGTAGGTTGGTTTGTTGTTTAACGCCGCACTCAGCAATATTCCAGCTATATGACGGCGGTCTGTAAATAATCGAGTATGGACCAGACAATCCAGTGATTGATATCATGAGCATCGATCCACGCAATTTGGATCGATGACGTCAGCGAGCCTGACCACCCGATCCCGTTAGTCGCCTCTTACGACAAGCATAGTCGCCTTTTACGGCAAGCATGGGTTGTTGAAGACTTATTCTACCCCGGATCTTCATGGGTCGAGATGTAGTAATATTAAAAAAATTATTAAAAATGATGGCTCTCTTTCTTTTGAGATGTAGTAATATTCAAAAGTGATAGAACTTAAAGATAGCAATCATTTTTAATAATTTCACCCACAATTCCAGAGGGCTCTTTCCCGTGAACCAACAAAACTTATATTGATACTATAACGTGTATACGACAAAATTGCCTTATAAACTTCTAAACTGTGCACAGATGTTTAATGGCATCGTGTGGCCTTTATTATTCAAACAATGTAGAGTCATTAAATTCAATCCTTATTTCTGTACTTGGGGGCAGAGGCCATTGTATAAGAATAACATAATATAATTTAATATAATGGCAATGAGGGATCAGGTTGGTACACATATAGGATATTAATAATCCTTTTAGTGGATTGCTTTCACAGAGTTAAGCATGTTGTATTTTATTACACTAATTTTCAGATATCCTGTTTAGACAGGTGTTACTGCATCACATTTATGGCTTTATGGACAACTAATTGGAACTTAAATGTAAATGCCGAGTACAAACCATACAGATGTATGGTACACGTATAGGGTATTAATAATCCCTTTACACTGATTGCTTTAACAGAGGAAAGCACATTTTTTATTCAAATACATTGTATCCTGTTTAGACAGGTGTTGTTGCCTCTGATTTGGGGCCTTATGGACAAATAATTGGAACTCTTCAATAATAGACTTCTTTTGTAAAGACATAGGATGTAGAAAGAACTGTAAAGAACACCGTTCGATATGCTTTACAGGGAGACACTGTTCCCTAAGACTTCTATAAACTAGACAAACCATAAGAAAGTAAAACGAATCCTTCAGCAAATGTAAATCGAGTTAGACATATAGGCGCTGACGTTTAATTACACCGGAATATCGTGCTTGTTCCACAGCACAACTCGCGACGATATAAAGCGAAAGAAGGACCTATAATATACACACAGGTTCTAACTTAAACTTATATACCGAGTATAAATCATATCTACTACTGGATTGTAGACTACTTAACCACTCTTGAGTTGAAACATATCTCTAACTCTTTGTTTAAAATCAGAAATATTTGAACACTTCCCACTTCCATGAAGATCTGAGCAAAACCAAAACCGAAACGGGACAACAAATCTTGAAAGAAGTAGCCCCCGCATGACGATTAGCACAATTCAAGACATAAAGCATTTCATATGCCTTGCTAGTATATCTATAGCTGAGCATATATGTATAATCCTTATCCAAAACGTAAAGGACCTCAGTAAAGAATTATTATATATAGTCTATCTTCTACTTTCTCCCCAAACCATAGCATTTTGGAGTAGTTAGTCTTACTTATAGTTAGAAAACGTTTACAAGCAACATAATGTACCCTCTCTATGCACTCCTGCCTTTTTGTAGCCCCATATTTCCGAACAATAGAGTAACATTAGCATTATTTGAGAATAAAAAATCTTATATTAGTATTACGTCCTTAGCATTTCAAATAATGCATTTGTTGCAACTTTGAGAAACACTTAACTGAGTTGTGAGTACTATACCAGGACGATAATTACACTGGTTAACAACTTCGACATTACAGTCACCATATGCCCATTTTTCAACTCTTGCTAATCCCCCCCCCCCCCCCCCCCCCCCCCCCCCTCTCTGCCTTAATACAGCTATTTTTGTTTTTGTCATATAAACAGTCAGTGACCACAGGACAATCAAATAACTCTGTAAATCCTTCATTTGTCTTAACACAAGACTTCAATACTGAATACATACTCTTAATGATTCTCTTGTTTAAGATACCAATATATAGTTTGCAAAATATCGACAATAAAGTAATACCCCTAAAATAGTCCGAGGTATTATACAGCGGTACAATAATACCTGTTGACCACTGACTTGAGAAAACACCTGTATCAAAAGTAGTGTTAAAAAGCTCAACCACATAGTCAATAAAGTACTGTCAGCCATAGATAAAGATCTCCGAAATAACCTTATCATAACCTGCGGATTTCCGTAACTTCAATCTATTGATGGCTGAAATAATCTCGTCTCTCCCCATCGGGGAATTAAACAGCACCTGATCATTATTTCCATTGTCAATATATGTGCGTGGTCAGAGTCCGGTGTCAGTAAATATAAATTATCTTCTTCCCTTTTCTTAAAGAACGCCTTTTTCTTTCTAAATAGTAGATATATATTTATTCTGCCCATGATGTCTAAGCATTCACCTACTCTCCCTCTTCAACATCCGACATTCTTTATCATACCAGACATTCTTTACCTGTAGTTTAGCTTCCTACCTAAATATGCACTGGATCTATATAGAACAGTGTTAAACATACACACATATTTGCGAACATCCACACATAGCATATTTGTATCTTCTTGTAATGGCATCATGGTGTAATAGCTATGATCATATTAATTTATTTTTAAATCATCCCAAACAAAACTATCTGACTCTTTATATTGAGTTCCGTTAAACTCCTGACTCCTTGAAGACATGTCAATGACAGGTGCTTAGGCTCGGTCCTGTTACCAAGCTCATAGATGTTCATGTACAAAATTGGACCCGAACCTTGGCTATTGTAAATCCACATGTCCCACACATCTTCTTAACATATAGAAGTGGACTCACGGTCTTTGCTGTAACGTCACTGATTGCTCAGTTGTGGTCAGTTGGTTCTGTAGGGGAACATCCTTCAGTGTTGAGACATGGATTGCATGCCTACATAGTTTACGTGTCATTATTCAGCGATTCGTGTTTTGCCTTACCCGCTGGTTCGTCACTCCTCAAAGTTTACACAATCCTAAACGGAGCTGCACACTTGTAAATCTCGCACATGACTTGACTTGCTCCAATCACCGCCTAATTTCAGACGAGTTGACACTATTTGGGATAGGAGTCACTTGATTTTAATAAGTATATATGTTGGTACAATGTGTGAAGCCCATTCCTGGTGTCCCCCGCCGTGATATTGCTGGAATATTGCTAAAAGCGGCGTAAAACAATACTTACTCACTCACTTACACACTCATTAAGTTGATTATGTTGTATGTTGAAGATGCACTTGCCTAAAAATTACATTTGTAAATAAGAACAGTGATAAAGAACTGAATTTATGAATGTTTTGTGTTGTTATATTTTCGCGTAAAAACGTGAGTCCACCCCTTTTATTTGGAACAAGTGTTTTATTTGGTACAATGTTTTATTTGGTACAATGTTTATTTGGTACAATGTTTTATTTGGAACAATGTAATTGGAGTAGCTTAAAACCAGTGATCGACTTCGCTGCATGTTTTGCTAACGAAAGTCCGGTCCTAAAAGTCGATTTTTAATTACTTTCGTGTTCGATAAATATTTCGCTAAAAATTGCGCAATGTTATGCTGAATGGATGTAAGGACATTTAATTTGAACCAAGAAGGCATGTTCTTTTCAATATTAACCAGTGTCCAAAATTCTGCATTAAAAATTAAATACCTTCAAAGAAGAGACAGCTACAGTAATTCATGACACAATCGTGTCACACGAAGGAAAACTTCAGTTTTTATTTGCTGGAACTGCTTTCTTTGCAAACACTGGTTCTTAGAAATCACGTCAGATAAGGGCTAACCACTTTAACTTAACTTTAACTGTCTGAGAAGAAAGCACTGCGCGCCGGTTGATATATCAGAAACAACCAGTCGCAGTCAGCAATGATAATGCATATGCTTTGCATACAGACTTCATACAATCATGTTACTCAATATCAATCCAAACATTATATATGACATTACATTATAGAAACAAAGGAAGTTCTTCTGGCGTAAACGTAAGAGACGCCACGCCTGTTGCTAGGTCATGTGATATGGCAGATACCTCCAATAGATACTAAAATAGTATAAAACCTAATGTTTACCTGGATAGATTTATTTAAGCTTCAAAGTACGTTGAAGATAAGGTGAACAATGAAGGGTCCTTGCATATTCGCAGGTAAGTTCAACTGTTGGCCTGATTAAATGAAACAATTTGCTCGTTTCATCGACAGACAATTCATGGCAACGCGCTCTTGTATTTCACGCGAAAATACTAGTATTTTGTTGAAGTATAAAAGCCTAGTATGTCACACACGATAACAGTGATAGGGTTTATTCATTCGTAATTGTTTTACATTCATTTCCAGTTCTTCTGATAACTGTTGTATGCAGTTTCCGATGTGCTGCTGCTGCTGCTGCCGACGCCTGCTCTGTTGATGGCGATTGTAATGAACATGGCACATGTACGGGAACCACACCAGGCAAAGTATGCACATGTTCAGATGGGTATGGTGGCACAACCTGCACTGACGGTAAGTAAATGTCATAAATATAATTTACGGTAATCAAATGTTATGTGACAATAACAACGTCTCTAGCCAATAGATATTACTACAAGGGCAATGTTAAGTAATGGTGTTTGATATCTTCAGCGCTGAAATATCGTCATGTGGAACACAACGAAAACTGTTCTGCTCAAGTTAAATAAGCACATTTACCATGTGGATGACACAACCCATACGTATTGTTACTTAACCATTGGTGTGATATTGCCGTTTTCAGATTTAACGTCTAAAGTGGGAATGTCTTTACCTGAAGACGCCCTAGATTTTCGCAACGACTCACAATTTACAGAAGGGTTCAATATGCTAACAACTAGGTATGGCAAAGACAAAGGCAGGTCAAGTAACCATGTAAATATGTTATAAGATCTGTGCAACAATTCAAACTTTTATATAGTAAATGGAAGAATATGCGACGATAAATACATTGGAAATGTAACTAGTAAGAAGGTTAGTGGTATCGACTATGCCATCGCCACAGTCGAATATTTTAAGATTGTACATAACTTTCAGGTTTTACCATTTGACCCATTGTTTTCAGATATTCACTGTCCTATTGCATATCACTTGTAAACAGGAGGAATCATTTGAGCCCAACATTAAGCCGGAAGAAGTTGGAAAATGGAACAGATGAAAATTTCCGAACATTACAGAAAATATTGACAATGAATGAGAAGATTCATAATATATGAAAAAGAGAGAACAACGATCTCAATAATAAAGCCAAAAAGGGTGAAATTCTTTCTAAATCAACAACATACAAACTCTTTGTACGTACACTGAGTACCACTCACGTCCTGATGAACTTTAAAAGCCCATAAACAATTGCTTCCCAGTCACGTATAGTTTATTCTGATTGGAATGAAGCTTTAAAACTTAAGTACAAGAAGATCCTCCGAAATAGCTAGAATGCGTACTAATTACTGTATGTGTTTTCGCAAGTCGTCTTTGTTGATACCAAATGTGAATACTTTACCTGTGTCTGATCCAGGCCCCAAATGTACAACTGATGTCAATCGCTTGAATGACGGCACCTGCACCATAACAGCAGGCAAACAAAGCGTCTGTGCTTGTGACACTGGCTATACTGGAGACACCTGTAACACGAGTATGTACCCATGACGGTTTGACTATACATGATATAAGATCTTCTGTGACTGTTTCTGTTCAGTTCCTTTTAACGAAAATCCAAAATGAGCTTGAAGTTCCAGATTTGTACTACGTTATATTTGTTGTCTCGTAATTATGAATCAGGAGGGGATTTTACGCAACATCCCCAACATTCATGCTTGTACATATGTTGGAAATCGAACGCTTTAAAAAATAGCCTACCCCACCGCCTTAGCATCATTAGCGTGAGATTCAAATAAAATATTTTCAATTATTATAATATGCGTGTCCACATACCACAAGCTAATTTGCAAAATATCTGTTTCAGAAAGTGGAGCTGAACGTGTGACCTCCTTCGCCATGTCTATGCTGGTGTCCGCTGTCGCAGGACATTTTCTTCTGTAAAGATATTTATACATGCTCAACGTCAGACAAAGTTTCTATGATTCAATCAGTTTGCTGATGTGTTTTCTCGTCAATACCTTATATTCGACCAAAATATTTCTTTTAAAAACAACAACATCATAAAACATATATTTCGTAACTGATTAACATAAACATTATAATTGATGGATTACATTGTGAAGTAAAACTACACAGTAACTGTCCATACTGATAGAAACTTTCACTGTTTATAATTTAAGGCGACATTCCGTTGATAAAACAGCGTTAGCTTAATCGATTAGATATAACAATTCAATGTAGGTACATACACATTTTCTTACCTCTCGCTTCTTTATAATTATAAGTAATTTGAGTTATTCACTTCTTATATCAACTTCACAATGTCCATGTGTACACATGTAACTAATGCGTGTATAAGCGTGTTCACGAATCAGATGACGTGTTGAGCTGCTGATGGACGTTGGTCGTTCCACTGATATAAACTGTTCAGTTCATGCTAAATCAGCGGTTTGTTGTTTCTTGTGTTTTGAGAACTTCCTTGGCGAACAGGGCACTGAACCTAAGCTGAAAGGTAATATCACAGCAGTGGCTATGAACAGTATCACACATTGATATCCAAATCGGGTAAAATAGTTTTATTGAGAATTAAAATAACATTCAGTGGTAACTGGCTTATATACGCCTTTATAATCTGTTGATGGTTTGCGAAAAGGTCCAGCGTAAATGAATTGTCGAAAATAATTGAACTGTTGATGATTGAAGTTTTACTCCCAAATTGCATTCACTAATTACGTGTCCAATCAAGGCTCGGTTTGAAAAATATATTCGCGCAGGGCAGATAATCTTTAACTTTCCATATCTCCTAAATACAGACTACCTTAAATGATTCCGGCTACACCAGTATCATGTGTTTATGAATCACTATTACATGTAACTAGTAAGGATAATAGTCAAGTCATGTGTTCACCTGAACAAACATGGAAACATGTGATGAACATCAAAACAAGGCATTGCATCAGACATTATTTTGTTCTCCGTATGTCTACCATAAAAAGTTTAGACAGCTTTACTGAGGTTTGGAATGTCGATCGTAGTCTTGTTCAAACAACTTTCGAGCATGATCTACGGTACCATAAAAGTTGTTTCCAAGGCTGGAGCTGATTGAATGTTCGCGACATAAAGGGACCTACCAATTATAATGTGGGCTTTATCACAGGGTACAAGAATAAATACATCGATTCATCTGTTATTAGTTTGTATTGTATTTATTACAAGATGATTTTCAAATTGAAACGGAAAGGCTTACCCGGAAATTGGTATGAAAAAGAACTAAATAGTGAAATCACTCAATGACCACACCCGATCAATGAATAACAATTAAATTATATTTGAACACACAGTATTATGTTTGATAATATCGGCATATACGTAATGCGCAAAATCAACACCCTGATCAAAGCGTTACATTATATTACCACGGTTAATGGATCAGTGTGCACTCGATTATCATTCTCAGCTCCCTGATGACTATAAAGCCAAAGCTGCCTGTGAGGCGCTATAGGGTTAAAATTCTCATCCTTCCGGGGACCCATTCACTGCTGAGTGAAAATAGCTATATTTCGAACAAAGTCACTTGCCAAAGAAGACACCACATGTGCTTCGATCAGTGTGGGACAGGGCCGAAGCCTCAGGAACTCTCAGGAGTCAAGCTGCTGCACATGGCCACTTATCCAACTACTCTCCGCGACCGACGTTGCTCAACTTCAACTGATTTGTGCCCTGTGCAAAAGAGGTTTACAATAAAAAGGACATTAGAATGGGTCAATTATGAGACAGCTGCAATAAGTAACAGGCCCTAGAATTAATGTAAATGCACTCACGAATGTTCAGAATGTTCACTTTTGATTGTCAAGCCTCCGTTTAATAGCAACGAATTAGTCTCTCGTTTTATTTGGGCCGTGTTATTTCATATGACGGAGATATGAGTTTGAACACCTGTCAGGTCTTGACTCCTTTATAAGTAAAAGCAAATACATGTAATTTCCTTGATGAAAAATGTCGAATATTATAATAAATATACTGAACCAATTTAAAAACTTCACAATCCTAAAATTTTAACATTTTGACCAGGTATCATTGTGGGCCCTTATTGTGTATTTAAACAGTAATGGCCACGTATTGTCTTCAGATAACACCCGTTTTTGTGCAGGTGAATCGATCAAAATCACGTGCACAGCACTATAGTGGCAAAAGCGGTTTTTCATGTGCAATTGGTCACGTGCCCATAATACCGCACGTGTTGTCAGCCATACTTGTTAGCAGTCATTAACAACATTTATCCTAAGCCTTAGAAAAACACAAGTCTTTACGGACATTTGTCATGCCTTTCAAATGCACAACGTGAACGTGCCATCGGCATGTTGCAGACGGGAACGTCCGTAGCTGAAGTCGCAAGGACGATGGGTTGTAGTCGACGGACTGTTTATGATTTACAGACGCGTCTACAGCTAACGAGTACCACCACAATCGTCAGATTGTCTTACGTCACCTCCGTAACCGATTTTTGACGGCTACATCAACCAGAAATGAACTGTTTAGGGGTAGACTGAGTGCGCAAACTGTTCGAAACCGTCTGAGAACTGCTCATCTTCAAGCACGACGGCCATACTGCGGGCCGATTCTGACTCAATTACACAGACGTCAACGTCAATTGTGGGCACAGCGACATTTACGATGGACTCAGAGGAATTGGAATCAAGTCGTCTTCAGTGATGAATCCCGATTTAATCTTCGATTTGCTGATGGTAGGGCGAGGGGTTGGAGGCGCCGTCACGAACGTTACGCCCAATGTTGTGTACAGGAAGTTGACAGATTTCGAGGCGGAAGTGTCATGGTGTGGGGTGCTTTCTGTGGCAATGGAACGTTATAGGTTTCTTGTCATCTGTGGCAACCTCAACGCTGCTGCTTACCGCCACCAGGTACTGGCACCAGAACTTCTGCCTTTTATGGCAGCACATGGACCCGGTTTCATCTTCCAACACGACAATGCCAGACCCCACACAGCAATTTTGACAAGGAATTTCCTTCAGAATGCGGGAGTCAACGTCATGGACTGGCCGTCATGGTCTCCCGACCTCAATCCAATCGAACACGTCAGGGATGCTTTTGGCAGAAGTCTGCGCACTCTCCAGAACCAACCACAGAATTTGCAAGATCTTGGTACTATTTTGCAGCAACAATGGCGTCGTCTTCCCAATCATGTGTTCACAAGCATCACAAGGTCCATGCGGAGGCGTTGTCAATGCACATGGTGGCCATACATGCTATTGAACTTGTGTGCCATCAGATTCTCGTGCTTGGGACTTATGATTTAAACTGTTGATGTTATTACCGAATACCGTAGGTGCTTGGAACAAATTATGGTTACTACCGTTAATTAAAATCCTTCTTTGGACAATAATGCTTAAAAATTACTTTCTGTGATACATTTGTCCGTTGTATATCATATATGTGATTCCTTTTCAAAAAGTGAAGTTTTTAATTTGACTCTGTATATGTATGGGACAACTACATTCACAACAAGAATAGGGGCGGTCGGGTAGCCTAGTGGTTAAAGCGTTCGCTCGTCACGCCGAAGACCTGGGTTCGATTCCCGACATGGGTACAATGTGTGAAGCCGCCGCCGTGATATTGCTGGAATATTGCTAAAAGCGGCGTAAAACCATACTCATTCACTCACAATAAGAATAAGAATTTCGAACAACTAAGACATCGTCAGAAATACTGTGTTCATCCATAACATTTAAAAATGTGTTTCGGTTACATTAAAACCAACTTACACATTCGCGTTTTTTGTTAATTATGTATGACAATAAGACCATTTTCAAAGACTGTCCTGGACTCTTCGGCCAACACATATACAGAAATAATGGTGCATTACGATAGGTGGAGTACATCAGTTGTCTGTCAGCCGGACAAAAAATTCAAACTATAACATATAAGCGCAAAAATGTGTGCTCCAAATAAGGCTACATCCTCACACAAATACATACTTTGTCTTGTCTTTGTAATATTACTCTTATATTATATCAATGGATTATTATGGTGCATCTTTGAAGAGCGTTTAAGTTTTTGCCACGCCTATACCTTTGGAAAAAGGGCATTAACATATTGAAACCAAATACAACTCACGATCACTGTGGAAACGGGCATAGACAAAATGTACGATATCAGTGTCTATTCACATTTGTACAGGTTAACACTGAACTTGCATTACTTAAGACGGATGTCAGGAGTGGGAGCAGGTAACGTTCACCTTTTCTTGAAAACATGTCATCATCACTAATTGATAGTGATTCACAAACACGTGCTTGTGATATACCCGGACCCTTGTTGAAGGTATTCTTCAGGCAAACTACGACGTTGATACAAATCCCAATTTCATCCATAATTTCACTAATACTAAAATTAATCAATATTAAAAGTAAAATAGACTTATTTACTGGCGTTCATGTTTTGTATTTCCTGTATATTCTAATAACATTTACACATCAGAAACAGTACATTAAATGTATGATACATGGATGTTTGTATAGTATATCACCCACAAGGGCACGGATACTGAAACTATTTTCAATAATTTATTTTTAGCAAGTGTTTCATTGTTTTCACTGTTTGCGTAGTAACGTTACGTCATGTGAACCGATTGTCGCAAATGTTTGATGACGAAGTTGTTCATTGTTCATGACGTCATGGCAATTTATGTGACGTTCAACAATTGAGTAACTTACTCGATGTCTTCCTCGTAAATTACTGTTGAAAGTTCCCTACCAAGGCACGGAAGTTAAAAAATTGATTCACTTGAGACAATAATTTGTAATTCCTTGTTGCTCGAAGGTCATTTTCTTTATATCACAATGTTCCCCCTCCGTGGTCTAGTGGTAGAGCGCCTGCCCGGACAGCGGAAGTCGGAGGTGAGATTCCAAGTCGCGTCATACCAAGAGACTTTAAAAGATGAATCAGATACGTGTTACACTGTCTGGCGCTCGACATTAAGGGGATAAAAAAGGACTGGTCGGCTCGAAGCCGTTCTACTGCGTCTCAGTGGGGATATGCATGTTAAACAGTATGCACTACAAATCCGGCATCAGTTCGGACTATTACAAGCAGCCACATGTACACACATATACCTGTATGCAAGTCGTTATATAAGTGCAATAATCGTGAAACCCCATTTCATCTCACCCGTTTTATGTAGCAAGAAAGATTAGGTAGAGGAAGGGCAGTGAGCGTCAATATATCTATGAATCATTTTACGAGAACATCCTTTTATCTCGATCTTTATCCTAATTTTTCCCTCGAGTTATTTGCTCTGCTGTTATATCACTCTGTGAAACGGGGCCCATGGAGGCTTTCTTGTTACGTCTCTAGGTTTTAACCATGATAATGTATTTTCTTGACTTACCTAAATATGTTTGAAAAGTTAAACCTATTCGGGTATAAACAGTATTACATCAGTTTCCGTTATCCTGTTGTATGCACCGTGAACGAAATCTTACGTGACACGTGACGCTCACTACACAGACTGCACAATAGACAAAACAGTCACTAACACACGAATGCGCACAGATTTAGAACAAAGCATATTTTAAGTATCTTAAGCGTATTTCTCGTATTTTCACCTACACGGATGTACGTGCTGAAATATAAAGGTTTTCCGTTACTGCATGAGCATGACTTAATTGTAAACAGAAAATATAAAATGCATGTCCATTTTATCTATGATGTTTACAATCACCACTTTCTAAAAGAAAACTCAGATATTATTACACGCAATATATAACATCTCTAGG